GTTCTAATCTCTCTGCTTGTTACAACTGATAAAAACTATAAATCAGGTGATATTTTCTCTGTATTAGCTCGATTTTCCACATCGGTGTGTCCCTGCTCTGTACAGTGTGAACAGACCCGAGCGCTGACACAGTGACTCGTCTCTGCCCAAAGGTTTAAAGGTCACGCTTTATCTCTGCTAAATATTGACTCTGGGCTTTTGTGTGAGGAAGTGTTGACGAGGCCATGAGGAAGACCCACTTCAGACCTGCACCGTCACAATCCTATTTGCATTTTGTTTGTAGTTTTGAAGGTGGTAGTGTGGCCATGATACTCAAATTTCACACTTGATTTTGATACAAAAGACAAGACTTGATGTTCAGTACTGATTCCAATATCACTAATGTAAATATAGTCTTTATGTAAACAATAGAAGGTGATTTTCATCATTAAATGGTAGAACTTTCTTTTCTCTTCCCATGTGTGTTATCTGTGTGTAATGGTCAGTGGTGCAGTAGGTTCATGTTGGTCCGTGTGTGTACTAGTCTATGTGTTCTGACACTTGTTCTGATCCAGCTCAACATCATTCTAAAACTATTCAGGAAAGATTCATTTCTGTCCTGTTGAATTTTTTAGGATCACTGCTCAGATGAGTATCTAGTCTCGATACTGGTTTTGATATCGATCAGTATCTGAAACCCTAAAACCTAGAAGGTTGTCTTTAATGAGTTAATCAGGTTTCAAGTAGTTTTGGTTAAACCTTTCTATAATTACTTGATATTTTCTGTATTATAACAAGTCAAAGTTATACAGAATTATCATTTCTGTGCATACAAAAGACAAATGTTAAAAGTGAACTGTGCAGGTGCCCAGATGCTGAGAATGTCACCTTTATCACCATGGAAAAGTTACAGGTTTGCCTGGACTGTTCCCCAAATTTTATGAGGTGTTTTATTGCAAATCATGTTTAATATTTAAAAATAATAATCATAAAACACAGAATCTGCTTTCTTAAAGACCAGGTTTTCCCATGTGTCTTGCCCCAGTACAGATCAACTGTATAAGCAGCTCTTGAGGTCAGATGACTAATTATAAAGCGATTTATTGCCCAACAATCAGGATATCCGTGTTGTTAATAACTTTATTGTCACAGCAAACTCTGCTCTGGTCTGAGAGTTGTGAAAACTCTGATAAGCGCATCCTGTAATAATTAGGATGCTCTAGTTAGGATGCACTTTTCTAACATGGAAATCAGTAGACTTTTTCTTTAATTCACTTTTAGATCAATATTGTGATATAAAATCTCCAAATACAATATAACAAAATGATCCACAGAGGTTATAGATTAGAACCAGAGATGCCTCAGCTTTTTCAGTTCCAATACCGATTATGATACTATAGATTTAATTCTCTGCCGATACCCGATATCACCCAATACCAGCACAGAGCCTGAAAACAGCATTTTATTTCCTTTAAATAAACTGATATAAATGTGCCATAGAGATGTTCTTTATCTCTGAGCTAACCACAGAACGGTTATTTATAATCAAAAGGTCAAACATCCTGAGACTTTCTGCAGCTACTATTGACCACTATAGTCGTATTACATCTATGTATAAGTCCAACCGGGATATCAGCAGAACTGACATTTACAAGCTGATCCCGCAAATTTTTCAGTATTCGCGCCGATATCCAATTCCAGTATCGGATTTTTGCATCCCAAATTATAACTCTACAATAAACACAAGCACAATGTCTTTAGTCTCCTTTTACCATCAGTGAGAGAACATCTCATGTGCTGACAGTTCAGTAACAAACCACAGAGTCACTGGACCAAACCTCCATAAACGAACAGTCAAACCTCCTCCTTCTCCTCCTCCTCTTCTCTCGTATATTATTTCTATTCTTCATCAAAAACAGGTCACAAAATGTCCGCCCAACCAGAGAGCCTCTTGCCTCCCACACCCTCCCGCCGGATTAGGCTGATTACATGTGTGTGTGTTCTAATGACATAGGTGTGTGGTGTGTGTGTGACAGTTGTGACACACAGAGGTGATTTGAGGATTATGTTCAGACACTGTGAGCAGAGGCACAGGCTGCAGCGGCCGGTGGCTCACACAAAGAGGACGAGGACGTGCTCAGACTTGGGGAGTTTGTTTTGGAGAGGTTTCTCACTCAAAGGCTTAAACTCACCATTCTCCACTCCTGTCCCACTCAGAACCACCCAGGAACAAACACAAAGCATCCTGGGAAATAGAGTTCACTAAGAAAGCATAACACAGGATTTAATTAAAGGGTCTGTATTATGCTGTTTTCTGAGCCACGTTCTAATGTCGTTTCCTCGTCACAAACAGACCTGGAGTTGTGTTTTGTTTCTTTCACACGTTTAACACACAAACCTGCACATTTTGGCTCTCAAATGCAAAACACTCTATGATGTCATGTACATACATATGATGTCATACAGGAAGTGCTCTACTGTGTTTTTAAGTTTCATACACTTTCACGAGAATCATTTGGATAATTTCATGTTTTTGATGAGATAACAGCATTTTAATAGATCTTAAAGGTAGTGTTGTACTACTCGAGACCGGTCTTAGTCTCAAGACTGCTTTTTTACAGTCTTGGTCTCGTCTCAAACTCGAACGCATGTGGACTCGGTCTTGTCTCAGTCTTGATGGAGCTTGGTCTCGGTCTTGTCTCAGACTCGAGGTCTGACACTGGATGAGTGAGTTCATATTTGACTATGGTCGGTAAATGTGCAGAGGCTAAATATCACTGCAAAACCTGTAAATGTTATGAACTTGAGAAAAAACACTTGATTCATTTTGAAGCGGTTTTGTGTAAAGTGCCAGTGGAAGTGGGACTAAAGAAGATGTTCTCAAACTGTGGGTACAGAGTGTTTCAGTGCAGCACAGTTTGCTTGGACTATTTTAAGCCTAAATGAACATGAATGGAGATAGATTTATAAAAGCACTCATATATGTATGTGCCAAAATACCTGTAAATACAAATAAATGCAGGAAATGACGAAGATGGTCTTGATTTGGACTTAATGGGTCGTGGTCTCGGTCTTGTCTCAGTCTCTGCCTTTAAAAGTCTTGGTCTTGTCTCGGTCTCGGCCTTTAAAAGTCTTGGTCTTGTCTCGGTCTCGGCCATTAAAAGTCTTGGTCTCGGCCTGGTTTCGGGACCCTGTGGTCTTGGAGTAGTCTTGGTCTCGATTAGTGCCCTGTTGACCAGAACATTTACTTAAAGGTGCATTGCGTAACGTCTAAGATGGAGGGTCCTTTACTTGCTTGTCTCCATGGAGGTTATTTCTTTGCCAGGAATGTTCCGCATTAGGGCATTAAAAATATCTTATAGTTCAAAAATACCTTAAAAACATGAATTCTTACTATGTGCAGGCTTGCTTCTCCAGAGATCTGACCATTAACCTCTCTCCATTGTGATTACACGATTATTTCCATGCTGCGGAATAATCCAGGCAAAACAGTAATATCTCCATGGAAACAAGCAGGTGACAGACCCATCAACAGAAAAATGACACAGTGCACCTTTAAAGCCCACACATAATACATGTCCTTTAAACAGATCTCCAGCAGCTTCATGGGAAAACTCTGGACATGATCGAATAACAGTTTTATAAGACTCACAGAGGATTTTTGGATTAAGTTTGGGTTTTGTCCCAAACCAGGGCCATAACTCCACATTACGAGCTGTTTTTCCTCCACAGACTTTCGAGACAGGACTCAGGACCTCAGTGGAGCTCTTCCATGATAAACCTCACAGTGTTGGTTTCATGTTGCTCCTGATGCCCTCCCGTTCTCTGTAAATGTCCGACCATCTCTGCACAGCCAAGATCCTCCGCTCCTGTTAAAGCCACACACAGACATGAGAGTGGAGCAAATGTTAAAGGTGCAGTATGGAACTTTGAGTGGTTGTCCAAATGGGGTCGTTATTACCTGGAATGTTGCACAGTATGGCATTAAAGATAATATATTAAACCAAATTTACTCTAGTGAGCTTTTAGCCATGTAATAATGCTGTTACCTCATCAAAAACAGACCTGGAGTTGTGTTTTCTTTTATTCACACATTCGTCCACTACATCTCCAAAGCTCAAAATGCTCTGTTCCTCCTTCTGATGTCATCAAGTGGTAGTTTTCAAGTTAACAGCTATGTTTTACCTTTTCTTCAGTGGAGATGAGCAATTTTAGGGCTGAAATGATCCAAATGATTCTAGTGAAGGTGTAGGGAGTTTAAAAACACAGTTGAGCACTACTACCACATGACATCACAAGGTGGAACTGAGTGTTTTCTGTCTGAGAGAAGAACTCAGTCTTAATATGCAGGGTTTGTGTGTTAAACAACTCCAGGTCTGTTTGTGATGAGGAAACAACATTATAATACAGATCAGAAAATAGCTTAAAACAGACCCTTTAAAGCTCCATTATGGAACTTTTGGAGTCATTATTACTTTGCTTGGAATGTTGCATAGTATAGCATTCAACATTTCTTGCTCCATGGAGACAAACAGATGATATAGTTAACAGGCTAAATTACAGGTCAGATCTGTGGAGAAGTGACTCTGCTCACAGTGATGGTGACTGGTTTTTACGGTATAAGGACCAGTGTGATTGGTCTAACAGGTCTCCACCCTGCAGACAGGTGTTTATATCAGAAACACCTGTCTGTAATCAGGGCAGTCATGTGTGATGTCATGTAGTACTTGAAACTGCAGTAGTCACAGAAGGCAGCACACATACCAGTTTTTGACTGTAACTAGAAAACTGCAAATGTATCTAATTTACACTAAAATGACTAAAAAGGCCCACAGCAGACTGCCATTACATACAAGTGAATCACAGATTCATTGTATGACAGCTAATGGTACTGCACGATAAGTACAGCTCATACCTTAAAAACCATAAGCAATCCTAAGTGGGCATTCAGCTTTAGAGTGCCCCCTAGTGACTGATGGTGCCCTCTGCATCCACAGCCTGCTCATAGAAACAGGCTACAATCATATTTAAGTGTGCACTGCACACGTTTATTGTACAAAATATTACAATGGGTCAAATTTCACAAATTTATGACAACGTAAAGAACATTTTCAAAGTTTAAATGCAGGAGGAAAAAAAATAAATCCTTAATTTGAAAGTGTAATTTTGTCGATGAATTTGGCCATTTTGACGTCTCTCTTGGACAGACCTCCGCAGTCGTGACTTGTCAGTGTGATCTGCACCTAAAACAAAAGAAACAAAAACACTTTTTCACAGCTGTTTCAGGGCCTATGCACACAGTGGTTACACTGCCATGTTAGGATAGACCTTTAAAGGTGCATTGAGTCACTTTTCTGGTGGAGGGTCCGTTAAATACTTTTCTCCATGCAGATGTTATTGTCAGAATGTCTGTTTTTCTAGGTATTTTTGAGCCATGCAAGCATCTGTAATTGAATAAATGTAAGGCAGAGCTGTTTAATGTCATACTGTGGAACATTCCAGGCAGAGCAGTGACATCTCCATTAGGCTGGTCCATCAAAACATGGTATAAAATAAAGTTTCAGATCACCTCAGTTAGAACCCTGCATTAGCATCCAAAAGATGATTTAGGAAGAAATTTGGAAAAAAAGGGAGATGTTTTAGATGTTGCTCAAGCTACATGGATTTTCCTGGAAATTGACAAATTTTGCATTTTTTGCAGGTAACTTTTTATGGACTTTCTAAGCAACTTTTATGGACTTTCTAATGAATTTGTAAGCAAGTTTGTGTTTGCAGAATAAAATGACTAATTATTTGAATATGCCTTATTTATTTGTTATTTGTTTGTTTGTTTATTTGTTGTTGTTTGCATAAAATTCAGACCCAAATATTTTGGCCAGATATAGAAATGCAGGGTTCTAATTTAGAGAATCTAAAAATAATGTTTTGGACCACCCTAATATCCATAGAAACAAGCAGGTGACGGGCCCCAAAGAAAAGTTACATAGTGCACCTTTAACAGCAGCATTCTATACCTTTAAATTGCACAGAAAGAAAGAGTTTTTAATTATCATCATCAGTTGGAATCAGTATTGACTGGTCAGGTCCTTAGTATTGAAATTGAGTTTGACAGTTTAGTTTTGTGACAACACTACAACCCCCTTCCCCCTCTCTCCCTCTTCCCATCATCTATCATCTCTCTCAGTTCTTCTCTCCTCCCTCTCCACCTACGCTCTTCTTCACTTCTCCTCTCTCTTCCTTTTCTCTCTCTCGCCTAAAATCTCCCCTTGGGTCTGTCCAAATCTCCAGCATTAGCGTGAGTCCGCAGAGTTAGCGAGTGGCTAACAGTGGAATGTTGCTGCTAAATCCTTTTCTTATGAAGCTGCTGCTGCCTGCGGCTGCGCTCAGATCGCACACAGACTCCGACACAGGGCTGAAAACATGAGCGCTGCGAGCATACGCCTACACTCCTCTATAGTGTAGTGTGCGTGGTGATTTCTTGGACGTGACTTTAAAGAGACAATTTAAAATGCATTTTCAAACGTGTCTGTCAAATCCATAATGATCTCTGTGTATTTTTTATATAAGGTCTGATCACAACTCTGTCATGCCTTGAGTCACATCCAAACCTGATCATCCAATCAGATTAGTTTATTGCAGTGACACACGTGACACAAAGGTGCTCATTGGTCACCTAACACTTTGAACCTAACTAAAATTTCTCTCAGATCAGATGACCAGTTTAGTGCTTCGCTCACTGATTCTGCCAAAATCCGCCATGTTTTTCAGTTTTTCAGTCCCCTGAGTTTTTCTTTTTTTTATGTCTTTTTCCGCATATTTGTTTTGATACGAATGGACCATGCGTGCCCCTGATTGGATAATCCACCTGTCAGTCACACCCATCTGAAAACAGTGAAATTCAATGTGACTAGATTCATATCTCCGTAAAGTACTGGAGAAGTGTGTGTTGCCTCTTGTGTGGATCACAGGCAGGAGTTTAACCAAATGGATGCAACGATGTGAAAAAATGAAATTAGATACAGGTCATTTTACACAGGTAGTAGAGGTAGTTAGGATGGTTTCATGTTTAATCTCATATAATGTGACTTCATCGAGGGTCAGTGAGCACTGTCTCCAGACTGGTTTCATGTGATGGTGAAGCTGAGAGCAGAGTGAGCGTGTACACTGGAGGCACAGGAGCAGAGGTTTGACCTTGTTGTAAACGTTGGACCACTCGGGGTGATGGTTCATCTTCTCGGCCTGAAGAGCCACGCGGGACATGAAGCCAAATGCCTAAAACAGAGAGACACTTTAGAATTCTGAGAGATGCACCAATTTGTTTTAGGTCAGATACAAATATTTATAGATTGTCCTTCAGTATTTGTGGATATTAGAAAATACCAGTTCATGGACTGAAGCCATTTATTTACACAGTTAAAGTATTCAAAAACTGATCCAGTTGTGCAACTTTTCAGGGGTAAAGCAGAATTCCACAACACTCACTAGACTTTCTGGTATGCAGATTCATGAAAATCCCTTGATATTTCGATGCGGGCAGAACACATGATTGGGCCTATGCCAGAATGAAATTTACTTTTGTAAATTAGAATGCAAGTTTAAATCACTATTTGAATGGACACTATTGGCAAATTGTAAGGACTGCAATATTTGAAGTACCGTAATTTCCTTCACAGTGCTAACCCTGTAGTTTGCATCTGTAATAACATGCTCTGAAATGTGATTGCACATTGTGGGTATATGTGTCTTCTGAAATGTTCCTTTTAAAAACATTACAATATTAGACAGAATAATGAAACATGAGGTATTGGTTTCCTTAGACATAAATTGTGAAGCCAACTTTAGAAGAATCCATCTTGTTGTTCCTCCAGTGGTAGGTTTAAAGTTGCACTTCTCCACTTTGCAGTAGTTTAATAGTGTAATTTACAAGCGCTCTCGTCCACACAGATCATTACAGCAGCTGTGTCATCACTGGAGCTGCTCTCCATGTAAATGTGATACTCAAACTTTAGCATCAAGGACAAACTACAGGGATTTAGAGCCAGAGCAGACATCTGACCACATCAAGTCAAAGTTTTAGAAGTTTGTTTTTTTTTAATGGTGGGCCTGAACCTGTATTTAAAGAAGACATTTGTTTATTTCCAGATACTTTAACTATGAGTAGAATAGGATTTTTTCTTCATTGCAAACAGTAATAGACTTCCAGTTAAAAACTGCAGAGCTGAACTCACCCTGTCCATGATCCATACTGGTATCAGTGTATTTTTTATACAGAGGTATATCAGTCTGGTCCCATCTCCTTTTGGTCACCATCATTTTGAATAAAATGACATAGACCCAGACCTAAACCAGGCTCAAAACAAAACAAGGACAATACAGGGTCTTTTAATCAGACCCAGGACTAAACCAGGACTAAACAAAGACTATACCAGTTGAATTTCAAATTTCAGAAATTCAAAGTGTTCCCAGAGTGTAACTGCTGAACGGACCACTTCAGCCAAAAACAGCATTAAGACCTGGACTGAGCACAGGGCAGTTAAACACAGACAGACATTTTATGAGGTTTTATACGGAGCTAACATTTAAGGGTGAATAGAAAGCATTGGTCCATCTAATAAAAGTTATTGATTCAAAGATACATTGTGTAATCGCCCAGATGAAACTGAAAGACCACTATGAGGGCCGGCGACAAAATTAGAGCCAGGAAATTTGTCACATATTTGGGAATTTCCATGGTCATAATCAGAAAATCACAACAGCTGCAGATTTAAAAGTAATATAACATGTTCTGAGACGTCCTTGTGTATCAGATGCCCTCCCTGTGTCTCCATGAGGTCTTTTTTTATGTAAAAGATGCTAACGATGAACACCATCGAGATCCTCAAACCAGGTCCAAGGAGCATGAATCATGACGAGGGAGAGTACACATACTCGATGTACCAATTTGTCTCCATGTCTCCAAAAACAAGTCGATGTACTCCCTCATTTGTTCAGAAGTGGTTCATGGTAGAAAAAGTTTTTGTCCAGATGAAACCTAATATATGTAGTGAATACTGATATCGGCCGATACCAATATTGGAACCAGTGTATCGCCCGCTCCAATATTGAGCCATTCATGTGTCCGGCCCCCTCCCCTCTTTAACCACACTGGAAAACACCTGGCCAGACTGTCTCTCCTGCTGCCCCAGAGCCGCTGACGAATCGCAGACCCAAAGCTCTTTCAATTGGTGCCATTGGGTCAAGTTGCAGGAATCTGCCAATTACTCGAACAGATCAGGAGGCTGTTTCCTTGATAACCAATTAGATCCTGGCAATGATCGAATTACACGTGCCTCTCCTCTCCAAACCTCCCGCCAAACTGGTCCCGCTGAAGTGAAAAGGCTCGCTCTGAGTCCAGTGTTGTCATGCACAAGGTAAACAACGGCCGCCCAGTGGAGGGAGTGAGATGAGGAGGAAGTGTTTAGCGGCTTAATTGAGATTGCACGGGGAAATTGGCTCTAAATAGGCCTGCCTCAGTCTGTGTCTATGATTCAGTGCATTTTTCAGCTCATTTTGACAGAACTGTGATTGGACAAGATGGAATTTGAACAGTGTGTATGTTCATATTCATTTACAACTTTACCCATGACTTTAAATGATGATCAATGCCAGTGGCGTAGAGCACACTTTTACAACAGGCCCTTAGCCTGGGAGTGCACAGATGTATGCTATTGTGTGTGTGTGTGTGTGTGTGTGTGTGTGCAGCTCCTCTCTCTCTCTGGAGCACCTTGTCTCTCTCTCTCTCTCTCTGAAGCAGCTCCTCTCTCTCTCTCTTTGGAGCAACTCCGCTCTCTCTCTGGAGTGCCTCGTCTCTCTCTCTCTCTCTTGCTCTCTCTCTCTCTCTCTCTTTCTGTATAGCGGCTCCTCTCGCTCTCTCTCTCTCTCTCTCTCTCTTGGTCTCTCCCCCTCTCTGGAGCGGCTCCTCTCTCTCTCTGGAGCGGCTAGTCTCTCTCTCTCTCTCTTGCTCTCTCTCTCTCTCTCTCGCTCTCTCTGGAGCGGCTCCTCTCTCTCTCTGGAGCGGCTAGTCTCTCTCTCTCTCTCTTGCTCTCTCTCTCTCTCTGGAGCGCCTAGTCTCTCTCTCTCTCTCTTGCTCTCTCTCTCTCTCTCTCTCTCTCTGGAGCAGCTCCTCTCTCTCTCTGGAGCACCTAGTCTCTCTCTCTCTCTCTTGCTCTCTCCCTCTCTCTCTCTCTCTCTCTCTGGAGCCCCTAGTCTCTCTCTCTCTCTTGCTCTCTCTCTCTCTCTCTCTCTCTCTCTGGAGCACCTAGTCTCTCTCTCTCTCTCTCTCTCTCTCTCTCTCTCTCTCTCTGGAGCAGCTCCTCTCTCTCTCTGGAGCAGCTCCTCTCTCTCTCTGGAGCACCTAGTCTCTCTCTCTCTGGAGCAGCTCCTCCTCTCTCTCTCTCTCTCTCTCTCTCTCTCTCTCTCTCTCTCTCTCTGGAGCAGCTCCTCTCTCTCTCTGGAGCACCTAGTGTCTCTCTCCCTCTTGCTCTCTCCCTCTCTCTCTGGAGCGGCTCTTCTCTCTCTCTGTTCTTTTAGTAACGTGACAGCATCACGCCTTGCAGACCTACACAAGTAACACAAAAACATCCAGATATTTTTCCAAGCCAGAGAAGTGGAAAAATGCAGTAGAGAATGCAGTAATCTCTCCATTCTTCACGTGGGGGTTGGATGTCATGGTTGTCCTAAAACGTGCTGTGGTCTCACGCTGCGGTCCCCCAGGGGAGTAAGCAGAGTCCAAGTGTCCCAGAGAAGTGCACTTGGCCTGGGCACGAAAACAAGAGCTGACCCCTGCCTCCAACTGAGCCTAAAGTCAACAGGGTCAAGAGCAGCACCATCACCACGTGTGTGAGGAGGGGCTTCGTACACACACGCACACACGCACACACACACACGCACGCACACACACGCACACGCACACACGCACGTGCACACACACGCACATGCACACACGCACACACGCACGCACACACGCACGTGCACACACACGTACAACCCAACAGAATAGCACAAATTCTGCTCCCACTACTTCTCCTGCTCCATCACAATTCGATACGATACACGGCTCACAATACGATACTAGCACAGAATGGCCATACATGTGATAATCGATATATGCACATGATACTCTGTGATACACTGCTGAACCAAATACATTTTAGCAAAAATATTTCTTTGTTAAACCACCACTTGTTCAGAGTTAATATGAAATACATTTGTTTTAATCATCAAATATTCTTTCCACTAAATAAGCAACACAAACAATTGTCGTGCAGTCACAAAAGAACTGCAAAAATATACCAAAAATCCTCTTGGCGATATCGATAAAGGCTCAGAATATCGATGCTGTACCAAATTTAGTATCACAATATATCGATATTTTTGCACACCCCACACTACTACTACTTCTACTTCTACTAGTACTGCGAGTGCTACTACAGGTGGAAAGTGCACAGGTGCGAGCTTCTGGGCTGTGAGTTACATTACATTTAAGAAGATTTAGTTCCAAAAAGCAGTGCTACTATAACTGTTTCCATCCGTTATAAAATGCACATATTTCCACAAGCATGTTTCTGTCTCTGGCCAACATCATTTGTTTTTAGCTCGAACCTCAAAAATTGTGCGGTGCAGTGAAGTTTGTTTAGTTGTGCATCACTGGAGGATTCTGGGTAAACAACAAACAGCGTGGAATAGTGTGACACTGTGAGCGTTCTGGTTCGGTGCAGGTACGTGTGCGACACTCACGTGGACTCTATTTATGGTGCTAAATGGGTTTACAAAATGGGCTTTAAAAGGTGCACTATGTAACTTTTTGGTTTGGGGTCTGTCACCTACTTCTTTTTATGGAGATGTCATTGCTCTGTCTGGAATGTTCCACAGTGTGACATTAAACAGCTCTACCTTACATTAAAATAATAGGTGGTTTCATAGCTCAAAAATACCTAGAAAAACAGGCATTCTGACTGTGAGCGGGGTCGCCTCTCCACAGATCTGACCTGTAACCTGGAATGGGTTGGTCGCCGTGACAATAGAAAAGTTTATTACTATATTGTGGAACTTTCCAGACAAAGCAATAACATCTCCATGGAGGAAGCATTTGACGGACCTTCCAACAGAAAAGTTACACAATGCACCTTTAACTTACGCGCTTAAATCAAAATCCACCTGGAGCGAGCGAAGAAAACTTTTTGCGAATTAAGGGTTTTACATGCGACCCATCTCCTGTTACTGTTACAAAAAAA